TTTTTTTTTTTTTTTTTTCAGTTCTTACTTCCTTTTATACCATTTGAGTTCTTAAGATTTCGCAACGGGATGTTGGTGAATTTATTTATTAGGAAAATTAATATTTGTACTAAGGGATATTGCTTATTTCATTGGAATTATTTATATTATGTTTTAACTATATATAATTTATTTCACCTCTTTCTTACTACTATAATTACTTTGTATTGTTGAACTGCGGTGCTTAACCACCAGGGTGCCTGGGCGCCATAGCCCTACCCCTCATCGAATAACATGATAAAAGTTTCCAATTATGAGAAATATAACTGAATGTGTTAAATAATTAAATAATTACTTTGTATTTTATACTTAGACTCGAATCCTCACGGGCATAACGACTTCCTGTTGGAGTGCACCAGACTTTTATTTTGAGTAATTTGTGAATTTGTCAAACAAATGTGAACAATTTGTATTTTTTTGCTGTATTAAAGAAAATTAGAGCATCTCTGGGAAGCTGATATGTCATTCAAGGATCTCAGATGTTAGTGCAATTTTGTAAAATATTTACGTTTCCATAGCCCGATTTTCGTTAGGAAATTAAAAATTATATGTGTTATTTGATTTGATGAATCTCCCATTCCTAGTATAATTGTTCATGGAATTATCCTTATTAAGTATAGATTTACAAAAGCACTTATTGTATCTTTTGTAAACTTTTCGTGTAGGTAATAGAGTTTATCAAATAAAGTCTTCGTCTGTATTTCTGGTGGCTAAAGTGCAGAATCACCCACTTATTTCTTTGGCGCTTTTTACAAGAGTAAGAAGAATTGGATTTTTGTCAATTTTCTTTGAATTTTTAAGCGAAAATAGGTCGATGTGTACATGGATAAAGTCAAGGGAGTGCACAATGCCATTTTTTGTGCAATTCTGGGATTTTTTTTTTAAGTGAAAATAGGTCGATGTGTACATGGATACCGAGTATGTGCAATTCTTAAAAACGCGTCAAGCAGTGGGCGATTCTGCACATTCCCCATTTCTGGTTTTGGAAATAATTTCATTATGCAATAAAATCATGTTTCGTTTTCTTCCTTTGAAGTTTTTGATAAATTTGTTTATGTTCCAGCATTTACTGAAATGATGAGAGCTTTGGGGTATCCAAGATTAATATCTTTGGAAAATTTTAGATATTCGAATTTCTCTTTGGTAGCTGAAATACTTCAATGGCTCGTGAAAAGGTAATATTCTGTTTGTTTTCACATTCTGGTAACAAATTAGGATGGTTACTTTATATTTATAAAACCTGTTATTGACAGATATGATCCTAATGCCGAGTTGCCAGATGATATAGATACGGAGCAAGATAGAGTGATTTTTATTAAATCTATTGTCCAGTTCATGGTAAGTTTAAACATGACTTTTGATTATTTTTGATTCAGCTATGCAAGGAATTTCGTCTTGCATAGCTGAACCAAAGAATTGTTTCAAAACAAGTTTTCAAGTTTTTATTATTAAACTTTCAATCCGTTAAATCTGAAGTATATCATTAATAATTACTTATTAACAGTACTGTATCTTTTAATTATCTTAAATATAAAATTTTGGTTAAATTATGGGGTAAATAAATCTCCTTTAAATGCTGAAATATTTTCCCAGAAACTGTATTAAGAGTCAAATTGTTATGCTAAATAATGGATTAATGCCATTAAGCTAGTTCTTTGACACATTTTATTACATGTTTCAATTAATTTTTAAATAATGTTAAAATGAATAATATTTTGAGTAAATTTACAGTTCATTTTCTTTAAGAACTGGCAAAATTTAAATTACATTTGTTGTAGACTTATATCTATTTTGCCTGATTTATGCTTTATCAAGAATGGGAAATATTTGCAAGTTTCAAGCAAAATTAATGAATACTAATAGTTTCACTAAGTTCAGATCCTGGTGAATAAGCTAGTTGCATGGAAGTTTTTCTATTTTTCCTCCCTAGAAATAAAAATAGAAAAAAGGACCCCTTTTCCCTCTTCAATTGAAGCTTTCCTTTATAGTCTGTGTAGGTGTAGCATTTTGTTTGCATTTATTATTATAGTGCAGCCTTTTAAAATGCTTAGCATTATGATATGTTTTTTTTTTCTTTTTATTATAATGGTCAATGATTAAATCTAGTTTTATCATCCGTATCTTGTAAAAGTTTTAAATACATCCAGGACTTAATTGCAAAAAATAGAAGTGACAGAGTTCTGTGGAAGGCCATCAGTAATAAGGAGCAAAAATAAACATGCAAAAAAGGTCTGAAAATTGAATAATAATAATAATTTTCAATTTAAAAGTGGTCTGAGTCTAAAAACATGTAAAACAGAAGTAATCCAACATATGCCAAAAATAAAGAAAAGAAAAACTTTAAAAACATTTCAAAGCTTTCAAGATTTTATATTATGCCTAAGGGGATTCTTTTTTTTTTTTTTTTTTCCTTCTTCTTTTTTTTTTTTTTTTTTTTTGTTTTTTTTTTTTTTTTTTTTTTTTTTTATTTATGCACGCATACATGTTTTAAGAGCATTTGTACTAACGCCCCTTTGAGTTAAATATATTTGAAAATAGCATATCTTTAGAATTTCCAATAGATAGTCTTGCACATTGGAGATGAAAATGTTTTCTTTCGTACAGTTTTGCTACTGCTCGCTTTGAAATTGTTGAGTTTTTTTAATAAAGAATCCATTAAAATTTTACAAAATATACGGTATGATAATAAAGCAGACTTAAAATTCGAGCTTCCAGATGCCTAATATTTGAGTAGAGGACTACGTTATTCAATATTTGATGGCTCTAGGTACCATTTTTTCTCGCAGTATGAGAAACATACATATGTTCATGCAGGTTTTTCATTATTTAATTTCTTTAAATATAGTACAGGGCAATAATATTTCGTGATAACAATTTGAAAAGTGATTTAATGTTTTTAGTGATTCAGTGCAAAATGATGTTTCAAGACTAATAGCCCTTCTGGGCTAATAAATGAAATAATTAATAATTAAATTTTAGATTTTATAAAATGTAAAAGAGACACATAAAAATTCAATAAATTATTAAATGAATGAGAAATAGTGAAATAATAAAATAAATTACCAGACCGTGTATTAGGCTATGGCTGGAATAACAGTTTCATTCTAAAACTAAGAAATAGCTTAGCTATGCTTCAGCTGAATTTAAAGCAACCAACAAAAAAATATTAAAGTGTAACTCATTAAATTTAAATGCTGGAAACATGCAGGTATAGGAAGAAATTTTAATGGAGATGTCCAGGAAATAAAACAAAAAGGAGTCAAACATTTTCTGACCCCATTCTCCTGTTGTTTCTAGCTGCAAAGCAGAATGTGATGGGAAAAAATTTTCCAAATCCAAGGGTTGATCTGTAAGCTGAAAATAAACATAAGGTTCTGTTCAAGTGACAACTGCCATCCCTTTTGTTTGGTTACATCACTCCAAACAGCCTTCAGATGCTCTTTTCCATGGGAAGTCATTAACAGTGATGTGAGCAATGGCTTCTGGGAATGAAAAATTTATCAACTATCAACTATTATTTACAAATTTATCAACTATTATTTATCATAAATTCATTCCATTTCCTGAAGACAATTGTTCCATTAACCCTTTGACTACTAATGGGACATGCATGTCCCAGTTTAAACATTAATGCTGTGTTAAAAAGTACTTAGAATCTCCTGAATTTTGGGGATTATCTTCCAATAGTTGGGAAATCAAGATGCCACTGTGCTCATTGTAAACAAATGGACATAGAGAAAAGAGTAAATATGAGTTGCCAAATGTGTAATATTGGGTTATGCAAAGATTGCATTACCCTGTACCATGCAATGTAAAATATATTTCATATAATAAAGTTTTCCGGAATAATAGGTATGCTTATAGCAAGTCGATCGCTACAGCTGGGAAATATGTGTCCTAGCCTTTCGTTTAACAGTTTAAGCTGAGGGCTGTGTAATTTGATCTGCATGTAGTTCCACAACCAATGAATGGACACACTGCATATACTTATTATAGTTTCCCTGTTTAATTACAGTAAAAGCTCAACTATCCAGAAGGCTCGTGAAATGACAGATTCTGGTTAATTCAGCATATAAAAATGCAATCCTTGGTAGAAAAATCAAATGAATGAAAGAAAACATTTTTTTTTTTTTTTTTTTTTTTTTTCTAAAATGATAAAAACATGCATTTTGTTTGTTATTGATTTGAATATCTAACATCTACATTTAAATTATATGAGATTTCAAAAGAAAAAAAGACATTTCAGACTTAAATGGTGAAGTAAAACATCATATTGGGATACAAAATTCTGTTGACCACGAAAATTAGTAGAGATGTCGCCAAACTTGCACCAGTCATTCCAACAGAAATTTGAATGAACACATTGCTCTTCATTTAGTCAGATAATAAACATATAGAAATTACAGATGTAACATATAAAAAACTAAGTTGCTTGTCATAATTCTTCATGTTGCGCTGCCAGCGTTTATCCATTTTCACAAAAGTAGCACTTTTCTTGATGCCAGCAAATATTTTACTGCTTCATGTTCTGTTGAAATCAAACCCCAAATTTTAATCAGCTTTTCAAAATGCAATTGAAAAACAGATAAATAGCAGTTAACATTTTTTTATGAAATATATTTTTTATTATGAAAATTAATCTGACTTTTTGAGAATTAATTGGGTTTACATAAAACAAGGCAAAGATCTTGTGATAAATTGTTATGTCATGCTTATTCATTATTGGTGCTAAATCCAAATGCTTGATGACAGTTTTTTTTTATTCATGTTTTCTAACAGAGTTACAAATCACTTATTTGCATAGATTTTCATAGAAAGGCTCATTTGAAAATTTTCCAATTAATTGAATGCTGGATAATTGGGCTTTCATTGTAAATGCAGACTTAAATGCTCATCCATTAAGGTTTCTATCCTTCAGACAAGTAGATCCCAAATACTTTACTGTAATTAATTTGTTAGTTTGTTTCATTGAATTCACATACTTCAAATTTTAATTGCTGAAAGTTGAAGCTTAACTTGTAAGTCAGCTGTTATCATGAAGCAGTAAAATATTTGCTGGCATCAAGAAAAGTGCTACTTTTGTGAAAATGGATAAACGCTGGCAGCGCAACATGAAGAATTATGACAAGCAACTTAGTTTTTTATACGTTACATCTGTAATTTCTATATGTTTATTACCTGACTAAATGAAGTGCAATGTGTTCATTCAAATTTCTGTTGGAATGATTGGTGCAAGTTTGGCGACATCTCTACTAATTTTCGTGGTCAACAGAATTTTGTATCCCAATATGATGTTTAGGATTGTGATCAGGTTCAGAATGATTTTTCTCTGTAACAATCTTTCATGATTTTCTTATGTAATTTTATATTATGAGGTATTAAACTCTCTGTAAATATTTTGAATCTATGTCTTGCAGGCTACTAAAGCGTATATAAAATTGAATGCAAGGAAGTTGTATATGGCTGATGGTTATGCTGTTAAAGAAATGTTGAAATTGACATCTTTACTCTATGAAGCAATGAAGACAAAGGTGGAAAATGATCTGGAATCATTAGATGAAGATTCCCATATGAATTTTAATTTTGACATATCTTCAAAAGTAAATTCCTTATTATTTTTAATTTTTAAAAAAAATGTATCTGAAATTTCATTCTGTTATCCGTTTACTTTAATAGGGAAGCAAATTAAAAATTGTTTGTTATGCCTGGAATTGACTCAAAATGGATGAAACTATAGAAGTATTTTAATACGTAAATTATAAAGAAGTGTCACTTTAATTTACTTTTCAATGGCAGAGTTTTGCATTCTGCTTATTATAACTGTGTATGAAACTTTGTTGTAAAATAACTAGCCTGCAGGGTGAATGAAATGTAGCAAAATGGGAATCAATGAAAAAAACTAATGACATGGTTTTTGGGAGGGAGGCATAGACTGATAAAAATGTGTTTGCACCACATTATGTACCAGTTATGGTTTTAGAAGAATGAAAGTAATACACTAGCGTATTCAAACTACATTTTATCTAACTTTATTATTTGATCACCTAGAGATATGTTAAATGTCGGAAATTCCTTGTTTGTTTTGTGAAAGTGGAAGGGCTGAAACTATTGATTAATGTAATTTCTTTGAGTAAAGCGAATGTAATTTCACAGAAATATTTAATGATTTGGTACTATTCGGTTTCGAGGGCCGTAAAAAATCGCCAAACTATTGTTGATGCCAGTGCTACCAAAAGTAATTGCGGCAACCCTAACGCAAGAAAGGAAGTATAATAGTAAATAACTATCTAAATATTGATGTTTTAATTTAGACGAAAGGTTAATTTCATATAATATTTCGCTACTGAGTTATTGCTAAAGCATAATGTCATTTCGTTGGTTGTTCAAACATAATTTTCTGTAATGAATGATCCCTGTTCTTTGAAAAAATTTTCGGTAAAGTGCTGAATCGTCTGCTTATTTCTTTGCCGCTTTTTACAAGGGTAAAAACAATTCGAATTGTGCCAATTTTCTTTTACTTTTTAAGTGACAATAGGTTAATGTGTACATAGATAAAGTAAAGGGTTTGCACAGTGCCATTTTTGCGTTCTAGGATTTTTTTTGAAGTGAAAATAGGTCGATGTGCACATGGATACCGAGTATGTGCAATTGTTAAAAACGCGTCAAGCAGTGGGTGATTCTGCACTTTACCCAAAATTCTATCGCAGACTTTTCATCATAGGCAATTCCCAAATTCTTAAATACATGGGATATCAAAAAAGGAATTAAAAATTAAACTAGTATTTCAATGGCATCTTAAGAAATATAGAACTATATAAACTTACGCAATCTGAAATCAGGGCGTACGCGAGATTTGGCACGCTGTTAAATGGGCATGTTTGCTAGATTTGGCGCTACCAATAGTACCAATGATTTTAATTACAGACTAAGTATTACTCAAGACAGAAAGGGAACACACCAAAATGAAACAAAATTAGCAAAGCAATAAGTTTCACCTTGTGTGTGGCATAGATTTTAGTCAAGACTCTGCCATTTTTATGAAGAACTTTTATCAAAATATGAGGGTCACTCTGCAGTTTTTGAGAAACACATAGGTTATTAAATTTACAATTAGGAAATTTTAGGAGAGTTTAGGTGGCCTCTTCGAGCATCAGTGCACTTCTGCGGGCAAATTTTTCAAAAATCAAGTGCCTTAATCCAGCAGTTCCCAACCTTTTGATTAACACAACCATCTAAACAAAAACTTAAAAAAATTAGTACCACCACTACATTTTACAAAGTTTCATTTTCAGTTTCTTAATAGAAATATTAAAAAAAGTATATTTTGTCATTTCCACAACGTATTGGCTATTTATATTAAATATGCGCACATAAAAAATTGAGATTAAAAATTTGTTACCATTTTAATTATCAAAATTTAAGTTATAATACTTTAATAAGAGATCAGTTTCTTTATGTCTCATCTTATATAACTTAGCATAAATTAGTATCCACTTTTAATTTTGTTCTGTATTTATTTTTCAAATATATCATGGAAGAAAATCCTTGTTCACACAAATAGGTTGTGCAAAGAGGCATTAAAAATTTAATAGCTTTATTTGAAATGCCTTTAAATTTTTTTGGGGGGTTCAGCCAAAAGTTAACAAGTGTGTTATTTTTTAAATCTTCAATTAGTGTTCGATCACAGGAAATTTCTATCAGTTGTTCTTTTTTTTCGTAAAATTTCAGGTATGTTTGAACAAAATAGATTTCTAATCCAATTTTCTTTTCATAATCCTCCTGAAAATGTATATTGAAATTATTTATGAATGAAAAACAAGTATTTTTAATGTTGGATGCATATAATTCTTTTATTTTCAAGTTATTTTGAGTTAGAAAACTTCCTAAAGTCGTAAAATGCTTAAAAGATTATTATCCAATTCTTTGATTATCAGCTTGAGTTTTTTTTTTATCATTGCATTTATTTTATCTCTAATGATAAACAAATTAATTGTTCGTCCTTGTTATCCAAATTTAATTCCTTTCTAAAAATACCTTAATACTTTCCAAAAATATCGGCTAAATATGCTAAATGCGCCAACCATAATTCATTAAATAATCATTTTTGCAGTTCAGATTTTGAATCACAGAGAAAAAATTTGAATTTCTGATTGAAGTTCAAAAAGATGATTTAAAACTTTGCCTCTGAATAACCACCTTACTTCGGAATGTAACAAAAGCGTTTCATATTCATTCCTATCTCTTGGCATAAAATTGTAAATATTCTTGAAATTAAAGCTCAGCTTTTAAGAAAATTTACAGTTTCACACACCATGATTCAAAATGATTTTCAGGTTTTTGGGGATTGTTTTTACAACTAAAGCTTCATGATAAATGAAGCAGTGCATAAATTTAGTTTCAAGTGCAATGTATTTGAGAAGTAACACCGGAATGTTTTCCTGATAAAGCCCAAGCTCTGTCACTCCATACAGCAACAACAATGCACTTATTCCAAGGAATATCTTTTTCATACATAAAATTGTCAATTACCTCGAAAAGTTCATTTGAAGTTGCTCTACCATGAAGATATTCACAAAACAGCAGTTCGTTTATCTTCTTCGAAATGTATGTAAACTAATAATTGAACAAAGTTCATTATATCAGTACTTTCATCCAGTTTCAGTGCAAAATACACACTGTGTTTTACTTTTTGAATAAGTGTCTGTTTTTATGGAATTTGCCACTTCATGAATTCATCGACTTACTGCATCATTTGATAACAGAATATTATTAAGTTCATTAGCTACTTTTTGATTGAATAATGTTAAAATAATATTTTTACTGCTGGTAATATAAGGTTTTCTCCAATAGTATAGCCTGCCCAGTCTTGGGAATTCTTAGGCTTACTAGATAACTAGCTTCCAAAGCTCTTTCGCTTGAAGTCACAAAACCTTTCATTACTTGTTTACTATTTATTATATAATAGTTCATTGCAAACAACACATTGAGTTTGAGGGTCCATTTCATCTCCATTCCAAGTAAACCCAAATGATAAATAGCTTTAATTATATTTTGTATAAACAGTTTTTCTTTTCAATATTATTAGTGCTGGTAGATTGTCCTGGATCGACCACCTGTGAATCATCACATTTCTGCTTAGTCAATCCTTCCCATTTTCCCACAATATATTACGAGCTCTTGAAAAACAAATGACGATATTCTCAAATCACGTAGAAAAATAAGGAATACAAAGCAACAAGAAGGTCAAATATCTGCTTTTAGAGACAGCAAATTAACATAAAAAAATTATTCTAATTGAAAATAGAGCAATATGAGCCTAGAAATGGTGGGGACATAAAGTGTAGACATACTAATAAATTGATTAACTATAAAAGAATAACTTAGATACTGTTATCTTTTTAAAAGAACTTATTTTTATTTCCTATTAAATATATCATCCATTTCTATCACGCCCCTTGAAAACATCATTTTTGACAAATTTTGCTATATCTATGGCTAATACTCTATGGCTATAATACTTGTGAAAATAAAAATAGATAATTTTGCTAAAAATTTAAGCAGCTATTGACCTTGAACATAGCTCAGATCCCATAAGTTTAAGAGTGTTAGAGAAAATTAATGAAATAGGATGTTGACCTTGAACATAGCTCAGATCCCATAAATTTAAGAGTGTTAGAGAAAATTAATGAAATAGGATGTTGAGATATTTAATTTTTGAATTTAACTTCTTTGCGTACCACTTTTTTGTTTTTCTGTTGTGTACCACCAGTAGTACATGTACCACCGGTTGAGAATCGCTGCCTTAAACCATTAATTTCTTGGAATCAAGGAAAAAAGTGCATTTATGGCCTCGTCAATCTCAGCTTCAGAATGAAAATTACATCCACATAAGTTTTTTTTTTTTTTTTTTTTTTTTTTTTTTTTTAAGATTAAAAAATAGCCTAAAGTCACAAATAGCTAGGTTGGGTGAATAGGATGGATATTCTATCACTTTGATATGTTTTTGTTCGAGAAACTCAGCTGTCAATGCTAAATGAGAAGATGCATTGTCCTGGTGAAGCATGAGTCGTCTAACATTTACTTCTTAAAGAATGTCTAGAAGACACTTAGTGGTGTACCAGTTAGCTGTGACTATCTTCTGTCCTTGCACCTTGATAACTTTGACCAGTCCTGTACTTCTTAAGAAAATGGCATACGTTACTTTTTTCATGATTTGTCTTTTCACCATTGTGAGCATGGGAAATCTCCCATGCTCACATGACTTGCTTTTTCTCTTTACTTTCTTTTCTCACTCCTTAAGGGAAGGACAGTGATCTAACTCTCCTTTTGATATGTATTAGGAAAACTAACAAATTGTAATCTATTATTATGTATAAATAAATGTATTTGTAATTTTGCAATTTTTTGTCTACAACCTCTTTTTTGGATTACATCACTCACTAAACTATGATGATGCTGTGGTGGATATAAGGTAAGAAAAATTATTCTACACTCTACTTTGGCAATTTGTTGTGAAAATGTTTATTATGAAAAATATTTACAACAATTCTGACATCCTTTTATGACACGCTCAATTAACATATTCTGTATAGCAGAAACATATCTGGGATTAATGCTGACAACACCCTTTCTGTGTGTTCTTCATCTTGATGACAATTGCGACCTTTTTGAAATTCTGTAAACCATCTGAATACAGAAGTACAAGATGGATTTTCATTTTCAAATGTTAATTGTAGACATTAAGTGCATTCTTCTTGATTTAATCTCACTTTGAAAGTACAGAAAATTCTAAGAGAACAATGTTCTCATGTCAACTCCATTTATCCCTTCTGCCTAAAATTTATTCTGTGCTAATGTAGTTGCAAATGGCCAGTGAAAAATCATCTGCTACGCTAATATTAAATAACTGAAAATTTAGGTGTTTTATACTTTTTAAACTTTGAACTTTGACTCAACTTATGGTTACGGACAAATTAACTAAAAAAAAAATAAATAAATAAATAAATAATAATCAAAACAAATCTAATTCATAATATATCAAAAGATCAATCGAATAAACAATCGTATAATGGTATTGGTTTAGTACCATAGGGTGCGTTGTGAAGCCCACTAGGGAAAAATCAATAACCCCAACTCAATAAAACTCCTTGTTTCTTAAAAGCTTTCCGGCTCAAACAAATGGAGGGACATGACAGACCACAGTAAATTATACACTAAATAAATACAACAAATGCAAACATTAAATATATATCAAACACATTTATTAATTTCTTGAATATATTATATTATTAGTAAATACTTGGGTAACTGATCAGTATCCCCTACCACATATTTTTCTATGCAAAATAACACATAATACCACACCGAAATTACAGCTTACATTAATTAAGATTAACATTATCAAATCCTACTGTATCATAAGTGTAACACTAGTATTTCTCCCATTTCATCTTCTAACTTTAAGTATTTATCATGGTAATTCCCTTTAAGAACACTGATAATTTTCACATCGATTAATTAATTTAAGTAATTACTCAAATTTCAACAAACATTAAAATGACGACTCTTGCTTGAGTATTAAGATAATTATTAAAGTAAAACAAATAAAAAAAAAAAAAATCACTCACGGGGTGAAGTCCATACCGCACACTCCCATTACTCGGGAATACCTTCGTATACTGATTAATAAGGCGATTTGACAGCTCCACAGATCGTCCAGCGTCCAAAGTTTACTCGAGCACCACATTATTCCTGCTGTCCTTTATTCACAAAATCCTCGTTAATGGAGACAGACAGTTCTTGCGAATTTTAAAGATGATTTGGTTGAAACACCACTGAAGCTGTCCTTACAATTAATAAATTCCAGAGAACGGAAGGATGAAAAAATCGACGCAGCTGACACAGGCAGAATAAACAGCATCACACACCTTAGACGAATCCTACACGAGTCTCTTTCATTCCGGAAGCCTCGAAACCCACCAAAAACATAGAGCACCTTTGGAACAAAATCTAATTAGGAAGTAAAAGTCGGGAAAAACAGGAATACTGCATCAGGATCACCACAAGAATCTGCATTACAATTCTTGGAAAGAGAGAATCGAAATTCTATGCTGAGCTCTACGCCTTATGCCAACGCAAATTCTCGCGAGCTAAACGCTGAGAGAAAATCATATCCGCTGCTCTCTGGTTCACGCCGCCCGCAGGGCAAACATCCCGATCTTTTTTTTCCAGCTTAACTTCACATCCAGGACTCAAATCAGACTCTAAATCCGATGCCATAGCTGGCGCTCGTGAGAACAAGACCAGCAAGGGGTCAAGCCCCCACTCTTTCTCTTTGCTTGAAAATCAGAATCAGAATGAACTCTAGCCTGGTGCAAGCACCCAGGAAATCTCAGTTTCTCCGCTTCTGTAAGTTCATAGGCCTACAAAAAAAATAAATATAATAATCAAATTAAATCTTCCCAATCCCGGAATTTTACGTTATCTAAACTGAGAAAATGACACACCCATGATGAATCAAACACCAGATCTGACAATGCAGTCTAAAAAACATATGTACACACAACGTGAGAATTAAAGTGAACCCCCCAACTAACGAGCAGAACTAAGCTTTACGAGAATCCAATTACCTAAACTTAGTACACCCCCCACTGTCTTGAAGTAAGCAAAATTACAACTATAACACAGCGAAAGCAAGATGATTTTTGTTTCAAACATCATTAGTAAAAGGCAACAACACAACACCCTACTGCCTCCACTGTTAGTAAAAAGGCCATAAACCAATAAACCAGGTGGCTCTTGCAACCGTTTCCTGTCTTTGTTACACTACACTTTCAAGAACTGCCAGTTAAATAAGGCTTTAACAATTTAAGAATACTCTTTTTACCAGATTAAAATATACATGAGTACAAACAACAACAACAACACAAAAAAAACTAGAATAATGATAACTTAAAACATATATTAATAATTAAAATTTGCAACATAACACTAAAATTGTTCATATTTTCAAACTTAACCATTAATTTTTTTCTGCCAGTTGTTGTCAGAGCATATCTAAAAAATTTTAGAGTGATCTCTGTACTTCATCTTAATTATGTGGCACAACCATTTTAGATGAATGAGTATTATTATTTATCATATGACATTATCAGCTTATTTCTTTTTATATGCCAAAAAAATACCTGCACATTAATCCATTTTAGATACACTTTTTGGCAAAGATGCTGTCAATATGCATACTAGGCATTTCATACTGTTACGAAATGTACAGGCGCGGTAAGATAGCTTCCCCGCAAAGTAGATTTAGGGTTGCCATAAAATAGCAAGGAAGGCAGGGTTTACGCATTTCTTGATAAATCGGCGATTTGGCGACAAAATTGCCGATATGCCATGGATGGATGGAAAACCTTCTGGAACGAATTCTTACCGGTTTAGCCCAGAATGTTCTCGAACACAAGCTGAAAGCTGTATAAACCCTGCTGGTCCGCAGTCAGTTAGTATGCACCTCGTTGTGAGGGCAAGTGAGAGTGCCTGGCATAGAGTTTGAGTTAGTCAGTATCGAATTGGTGTCCGTCTAGAGAAGTCGATCGAGCTGACAACCGGGCAGTGAGTGCCGAGTGGGTCGTCGAGTTCACCGAAGGCGTCTCTTAGTGTATCGCAGTTAGTGCATTTTTGAGAGAGCGTGTTGAGCTCCGGGAACAACTGAACCGAAGAGTCAGGAGCTGTGCTCTGTGTGTCGTCGAGTCATTGCGAGTTGTAATGTGGAGAGGCTCGAGAGTACATAGAGTTCCGAGAACGACAAAGCAGAGTCGGGAGCTGTACTCTAGTGCTTTGCCGTGAAGCTGTCTCCACCGTGATAGCCTGATAACCTAGAGGTTGTGTCGCTGATCGTGTCACCGTGTTTATAGTAGATCTTCGACGACTGTAAAAAGTGTAATTAGAGCTCTCGTGATTAACATTGCCTAAATAGTGTGTTTCGATACTTCATCAAGTGTCGTCGTTATTCACTCCAAAATCACACGAACGTGAAGGAAGAAAATAACGTAACAATTGGTGTCAGAAAGGAGAAAAACGCAACAATACTTATTTCTTGATGTGATAAATATCATATTAACTACAATATTTGATCAGCTCAAAGGTCAAATACATGAATGAAGCTCTTATATTAACTTTTTTGTCGTAACATATAGTGTGTTTAAATTGTCTAAAATTCAATAACAAATTCACACAAAAAAATGCATGATATATTCTTTAGTGCAAAAAGTGCATTTAAGGAGAAATTTCAGATGATTCATAATTCATCTTATTTGCATTCAATGTTTAGATATGTTAGAAAGAATTTGCATTATTTCATATACATTAATTATATATTTTTATAAGCAGTTTTACAAATGTTATACCTTGTTTATCTTCCTCAGTTAGGAGATCTGAAAATAACACGACATCTTGCATCTGAAATAACAACGAAAGGAGCTTCACTGTATGATTTGTTATTAAAAGAAATTGATTTAAGGGTAAATATATATACATATATATATATATATATTTTTCAGTTTTAAGTCATTATTAAGTTGTGCAGTTTTTCTTATAATTGTATGTTATAAATTGGTATGCATTTGAATTTTCACTATGTATAATCAGATTATGTATATATCAGATTTAACATTTTATATGAATATTAAATCATTATTTACACCTTTAAATATAGTCTTTTTTTATATGAATACATGTGAAAAACATTGACACCAAAAATGAAATCTGTATTAAAAAAAAAGATGCATGTAAAAGAATTACTATGCAGAAATCATAATTCAGTTTTTCTCAAACTCAAACATGTAATGTCTTTAATAAATTGTTTCGTGAAATAATGATTTTGAAGTTTCATGTTTTCGCATGGTACCAGCAATATTTTTAATTTATGTCTAATAAAGGGACCTTTCTTTGAATATGTTCTAACATGCTCAGCTAAATTTAATTATTGAAAATTTGCTGTCTCATAAAACCATGTTTTCTCTTAATTTTTTAACATAACTATAGAATTATAATCATTTTAGATATCAATTTGCTAATAGCCTTTCCTTGTTGAAAAAAGATCATGATAGGATTTTAATGTAACAATTTTAAGCCTGGAAATGTAACCTGGAAAACCAGGCAAATTCAGGGGATTAAAAAATTGACCCAAAAAAGTCAAGAAATTTAAATATATTTATAAAAATCTGGAAAAGCCAGGGAATTTTATATGGCAATCCCCAAAAAAGCGATTTTTCTTTTTTCTTCTTTTTTTTGGCACCGATGTTGGAAGTGATTACTTTTTTGGTGAATTATGTATTTATTAGAAACTCAATATAGCAGAGAGTGGTTACTTGCATGCATGAGAATAAATAATACAAAACATACCTGTTGGGAGTTTGGAACACAAGTGAAGTTTTATTGGAGTGCACAGTTATAGAAGAATATAAAAACAGTGGCACCATCTATGGGCCAAGAACATATTTAAAGCTAACCTTTTTTACACTCCCACTTTAGGTTTAAATATCATCCTAATTAAATACAATGAGAAATTACATCAGCACACATACATATAATAAAACATTAAATTACATTGGTCTTCATTTTAAACCCATCATTTTTGCACACATTTCATGTTTTGCACTGTTTACAATTTTTTGTCAAAAAGTCTGCAATCATATCATTAGTAGTCTTATATTGTATGTCAATGTGCTGAAGTTTCACAGCTTCTCGCACGAAATGATGTTGTATATCAATATGCTTTTGATCTACCATGATACACACTATTTTTGCTGAGATTAATAGCACTGTTGTTATCGCAGTATAATAATACTGGCTTTGCAGTAATAATCCCAAGTTCTTTAACAATTTTGTTGAGCCATATGGCTTCTTTAGTAGCTGCAGAAAGAGCCATATATTCGGCTTCTGTTGTACTAGTTGCTGCAATGGTTGGTTGACGCTTACTACACCATGACACTGCACCACCTCCGATGAGGAAAACATATCCAGTGGTTGATCGTCGATCCCCAGCATCACCTCCATAGTTTGAGTCGCTGTAACCAAGGACATCAGCACTATGTCCTTTGAAAAAGACAATGTAGCATCTGTAGTGGCTCGAAGATACCGCATGATGCGCTTGACATCATTCCAGTGAACCCTTGCCGGATTATTGGAGAACTGGCTAAGGAAATTCACAGCATAAGTTATATCTGGCCGTGTTGCTTGAGCTGCATAAAGAAGACTCCCAATGGCAGCCTGATAAGGAACAGGTAGCTTTTGTTCCTTACTAGTTGGTATCTGCAGTTTAGATAACACTTGATTTTGGTCTAATGGTGTTTTTACACCATGAGATTCATGCATATTATATTTGCAAAGCATACTCTCTACATACTGAGTTTGACTAAGGCTAATGGACCCTTTAGTTCTATCTCGTTCAATTTTAATTCCTAAGCAATAATTTGCTGGTCCCAAGTCTTTCATTTCAAATTTTTCTTTAAGTTGTTGTTTTACCCAATTTTTAAGTTCTATGTTATTACTAAAAATGAGTAAGTCATCAACATAAATAGTAACAATAACAAGATCTTTATTTTCATTTATTTTAATATAGACACAACTATCAAAAGAACTTTGCCTCAGTCCCATTTCTATTAAACCCTTTTCTAACAGTTGGTACCATAGTCTACCACTCTGCTTTAAACCATCTAATGCTTTGTTTAATTTTAGGACCTTTCCCTTTAAGTTTTGCTTGTAAAATTCACTGAAACCGTCTGGAATTTTCATATAAATGTCTTCATTTAGAGTTCCCTGTACAAAAGCCATTACAGCATCCATTTGGTCAATTTCCCAATCATATATAGCTGCATAAGCTAATAAAACTCTTAATGTTACGTATCGGACAACTGGTGCAAATGTTTCAGTATAATCTATCCCTCAATCTGAGAATAGCCCTTAGCAACTAAACGTGTTTTATATCTTTCAATCTTGCCTACTGAATTACATTTAATTTTGAAAACCCATTTACAATCTACAATGTTCTTATCATAAGGTTTATCTGTTATTTCCCATGTTTTGTTTTTAATATGGCCTAATATAGTCTCCCATATAGAATCCTTCCAATGGTTTGCATCATTGCCCCTTAATGCTTCATCAATGGTTTTCGGTTCAGAATACATACCATTTGTTGCTGCTGCCATAGCTTTAACAAAGCACATTCGATCTAAATTTGGCATTGGCATTTCTGGCATCCCGTGTGTGTCATAGTCCGTATAACTATTTGGGAATCTAAGTTTTCTGTTTCTAGTCAATGTAGGTAGCTCATCAACTACACTACTGTTATCATGGCTATCATTTTGAGCAGTATTATGTTCATCGTGATTAGATTTAACACTAGCATTAACTAATTCATGATCAGACTGAGTATTATCATTAACCATCCCTTCCAATTCACCAGTTCTGATCATCAGCTATTGCATTCTCAGTATCCTGAAAATGTCGTAATCACGCTCCCACTGAATGAGGATTCATCATAGAATTTTGGCATATTACTTGCCTTTTTGTAGTACATTTCATTTCCCAAAGATTGTACATCTCGTGCATTTATTATTTCATAAGTTTTGGGATCTATTAATCGATAGCCTTTTCTATCCTGACAGTACCCAACAAGCATTAATTCCTTTGCTTTTATATCCCACTTTTTACGTTTTTGCTTTGGAATGTGAGCAAATGCACGACATCCAAATACTCTCAAGTATTCTAAATTTTAGCTTATCCCCATACCATTTTTCATAAGGGGTCATACCTGCAACTGCAATAGTTGGAGATATATTTTTTACAGTGATTTGCAGTTTGCACTGCTTCAGCCCAATAATTTTGATCAAGGTGAGCATCCACCAACATTGATTGTGCTCGCTCTACAAGAGTTCTGTTACTACGTTCAGCTACACCCATTTGCTCTGGTGTAAATGGAATAGACTTTTGATGCTGAATTCCATTTGATGCTAAATAGTTATCCATCTCATTGTTTACATACTCAGTACCATTATCTGAGTGTAAGATTTTGATTGATTTGCCAGTTTGCCTTTCCACAAATGCTTGAAATATTTTGAATTTTTTCAAAAACTTCAGATTTTTTTTTCAAAAAATAAACAAAAGTCATTCGCGACAAATCATCAATAAAACTAATAAAGTAGCGAGAACCACCAATTGATGTAACATTCATAGGCCCACACAGGTCACTATGTACTATGCCTAATAACTCTTTTGCATGCTTAGCTTTTCCCTTGGGAAATGGTTGTCTATGCATTTTGCCTTTAATGCATGACACACAATTTAACAATTTTCCGTTAAATGTAAAACCTTCGACCATATCTTTTAATCTGGTCATTCCTCCTTCACTTAAATGGCCCACTCTTTTGTGTAGTAATTCATTTGAAATATTTTTCAGTAATTAAAGCCCACTCATTACATAAATCAAGAGAATACAAATTATCTCCCATACCTGTTCCAGTAGCAACTAAATGTTTACCATCATACACAAAACATCTTTCACTTGTAAAAGTACTAACCATTCCAAATACTTTATTTAAATACTTAATGGACAGCAAATTGGCTGTTAACTTTGGAACGTGTAAAACATTACTAAAGTTACAGACTCCCTTTTTTTATTTCTAGATAAGAGGAAAGTTATTTTACCCTTACCCTCTACTTCTATTACTGAACTTCCTGTTTTTATTTGATGAATACTAGCATCCTGATAATCATCTAATAATTCTTTATGTGGAGTCATGTGGTAAGAAGCACAAGAATCCATGTACCAAATATTGGGATGTGGATTAGAATTAGCTACACTAATTTCCACTACATAAGCTTCTTCCCCTTTTTTATGTTTTAATCCAACATTAGACTTTTGTTAAACTTGTTTTCATTATATCTATCCTTTTGAGAGGTGACTTCTGACAATCAGAGCTTTTGTGGCCAAACAAATTGCATTTAAAACATTTTCCTTTAAAGTACCTTTTGCTTCCGATATTTTTATTAACAACATGCACCCCATTCCTTACTTTCATTGACTAGGGGTTTTTGAATCTTTCAGCTAACAAGCGATTTTTAACATTGTCAACTGTTAACTTTGCTAACTAACTATTGCCTCACCACAATTTTTCAAAGCCATTATAAGAGGTTCAAACCTATCAGGTAAATTAGCTAAAATTATTCCTGCAATTAATTCTTCATCAGGTTTAACACCAGTAGATTTTAACTGCTGATAAGCTGAAATGGCCCTATGTAAATAGTCAGACATATCCTTACAATCAGTATAACGGGTATTCACTAATGTTTTAATTATTGAAACCTTTCTTGTGATTCCCTTATTCCTCATATGTTTCAGCTAATACTTTCCAAGCTTCCTTTTCCACTTGTTAAATCCCTTATATCATTGAAAATAATTTCACTTACCCCTTCAACTATATATGACAGAAGCTTTGGTATCCTTTACTGGATCTTCTTTTATATCTGTACCGATCCTCTACATAAGCCCATAAATCTAATTTAATAAGAGTGCATTTTCATGGAAAATTTCCAATCCATGTAATTTTCTCTTCCACTCAATTGCTTGTGACTAAATGAACCTTCTCCCCCTGGCATTTTTTCCTTTTTTAACTTTAATCAACAAGAGACAAAAAAAATTATAATTTGAGATAAATTCAAATAAATTTTCTATTGAATTAATTTTATTCTCAAAGAAACATTTGCCCAAATAATTAACAGTCAAAAATATTTGTACTAGTTAAGCTTTTGCAACCATGTGCTATGGCTAACCCTAACATAACCATGTGGTCAATTCTGGTTAAAGTAATTCTAAAAAATTTACAAATAGAATTAAATAAACAAACTAACTTAACTATACACTAGATTATTTATCCTCATTTCTTAATCTGGCCTGGGCCCATAACCTATTAGAAACTCAATATAGCAGAGAGTGGTTACTTGCATGCATGAGAATAAATAATACAAAACATACCTGTTGGGAGTTTGGAACACAAGTGAAGTTTTATTGGAGTGCACAGTTATAGAAGAATATAAAAACAGTGGCACCATCTTTGGGCCAAGAACATATTTAAAGCTAACCTTTTTTACAGTATTGCGTGAACATCATTCAGGCAGCCGGCACAGAGCCAATTTTTGCAGTTCCATTCAGATTGTCTTTTAGAAAGGCAAAGCCTTGAGAATTGAGAGACTTACATGTGCATGTTGAATGAAAAAATACCTTCCCATTCTTGTAATCAGTTAAATGGTTTAATCCTAGTGTATGATACACATGGAATTTGGTGACATTATGATGAGCAGAAGACCAGACATTTATGATCAGCACTAAACGGGTCATTTTGGTGTTTGCGACAATTTTAAAAATCGTGCCAAAGCTGTACCGTACACTAGGATTTTACCGAAAAATGTTTTAAACTTTTTTTAAAAAAATAAATGCCTTATTTCTCATTTTGCACTAAAAAAAAAAATAAATAAAAAAAAATAGTAATCAGTCATCTAGACTAACCATTTATCTAACTATATTCGGCAAAATATCGTTGATTATTGTAATCAATGTTTAATCTTGAACCTTTAATTGCTGTGAGCAGTCTGAGGATTTTCTAACCGTCGTTTCCACCCCTAAAAATGGTCCCTGTCCTTCCGCCTACCTTAACAAACCCGTCCCACAAGGTAACATATCCAGTTAAACCATAATAAAGTTCTAGCGTTATTATGGTTTGAGTTATCACGTGTTTTACTTTTTAAGGTGTCTGGGAGACCACTCACAGCAGATGCGTACCAGTTTTAGTGGACAACAGACATTATTTATTGGATGCTTATTTTTTGTAAAAGTGATAAATATGGCTTCAAATTTTACAAGAAAATGCCCCGTATATCTCATTAAAAAAGAAATATCTTGTCAACAATATTTTTTATGTAAGATACTCTGATTCTGAAGAATATGTAGTATTCACAGCGAAAGTGAATCTGAGCTTTCTGCAGATGAATATCATAATTTTTCTAATGACTGTGAACAAAATGATACCTTTTATGAAAAAAAAAAAAAAAAAAAAAAAAAAAAAACACTTCAAATGGAGCAAAAAAGAACCAAGTCGAGCAGTACAAACACCAAAACATAATAGTTCAGCTTCCTGGTCTGAAACATCCTGCAAAAATAGGCTCTAGAGCAAAGCCCGAAGATACTTGAAATTTATGTTCATATATATTGTTCATATATATCCTGATGTTACAAAACTGAAAAGAAAAAAGATTTATGCTTTTAATAGCTAATCAACTTATTAAACTGCATCTGAAAGTTGGGATAACTTCCACTGTTTTGCCAAGGGAACTGAAGATAGTGATTAGAAGAATCCTTGGACAGAAGGAAATTCAGAGAATGGATTTCTCAAATCGAGAAGAAAAATTAAAAGAAACAAAAACATGTACTCTGTGCCCACCTTGGATTGGATTGGATTATTCAATTATGGCAAAGCACACGAGGGCTATCTGCCTAAAGGGAGGGATGCCTTTGTGGAGGACTTTCTAAGGGAAACTGGCTCGTATACACGTTACACATGGGGAAAACCACGAAAACGCCCATGCAGCCAGCCCGTTCGCGGGATTCGAACCTCAGACCGAACTACCAGTGTTCAGCGTCTTTACCACTCGGCCGCTGGTGGACTGTACCCACCTTGTAAGAAGAGAAAAGCAGCATACAAATACTTGGAATGCAAGGAACCAGTGTGTCTACAGTGCTCTAAAAAAATGTAATTTTGACTGTATATTGTCTTATGATTTATCCTTGTAAACAAAGATATACTAATATATTATTTATTAATAATTAAATTCATTGTTGTAGAATTATGGTTTAATTGACAGTAATACTTAAGTAAGACACATATTTTCATGCATGTTTTATAAAATCTTTGTTCTTTAAAAACTTTGTTCCTTAAAACGAAGAAAATAGTAATTTTTCATATGAAGTTAATTGCGTAAAATTAAATAATTTATGTTTAAAATATATTGATTTAAATGAATTAGAATTCCATAAATATGTGTAAAGTATTTATAAAAGTCCTTAAAAAGCCATAAAAATACCTATTTTTACGCGTTTCTTTAAAGTGGTCTGTGAGACCGCTCACAGTAATTATAAAATTCTCACAGCATTTAAAGTAATTAACTTTATTTAATGTTATTCGTATCATTTAATGTGGCTACTTGCTTCTAAATTTATTTATTATTAGTTAAATAATACTTTAAATACAAATTTCAGGTAATTTTCTCTGGCATACTTCTGAAACTAATTTTAGCAGTATGATGACATACCATCACAAATTTAATGCACATATTTTTGCTTATGTATGCTGCTAAATAAATATGAAATACTTAAATTTATTTAAAATATCATTAAATAGATTTATTTCTTTCATTTAGCTGCAAAATGTCTGAAAAAAAAAAAAAAAAAGGAGGACATTTTTTAACCCAGATTGTGTAGATTCTAATCTCAATCTTCAGTGGAGGAAACTATTATAGTTATAATAGTAATGCTTTGGGGATTATATACTATATATTTATATATATTTATAAGTCATATGTAATTGCAAATTTTTGTGTTTTCATGCAGTATCATAAATAATTTTTTCTCAGCACAGCCAACGTGCACTATACGGATAGACTAGAATTTTCTTAAAACACACTTGGAAAATGTGGAAAGTCAGGGAATTTCATTCTCCTGTTTGAGTGGCAACTCTACAGTTATTAACAGTCTAATTTCAATATATTGTTCTGGAAAAGGGAGAAATATTGTTAAGAATTAATGGCCTGCGTTCAAATGCATGAAAATTTTTTAAATATTTCAGTATTCTGAAATAAATAAACAGAAATTTATATCACGAACAATTTTAATGACAAGGAAAATTGAATGGTAGTTCTGAATTGAACATTTAATGAGTAAATACAGTTGTAGCCATGGAATATTTAGTAATTATTTTTAGCTATCCTTTTAGTTTTAACATCTAAACCTTATTTCAATATAATATTATTGAAAAATTTAAAATATTAGGGAAATTACCAGAATTTAAGAAAGAGTTATGAAGAAATTCATGAAAATAGAGCCATGTGACTACTCCAGAGGAAAACTGTGATATGTTTTTAATTTGTAAAATTGCACAACATGAGCAGAGTGTAATGAATGTGCAGAGTGTGCTTTTGAAAATTTTTTTAACCTTGGAAATGACCACATGTTTAACTGTTGTTCTGAAAAGCATTGATTACTAATTAAATGGATAATTCTGCATGCCCTTTCTGTCTCTTAGCGGCTTTGTCTTCATCTATCTCTCTGTGTCATTATATACTGCAACATTTTGTACCCCTGCCATTTTTTTAATATTTCTATTTTCTTAAACAGGAAAACAGGTCTTCTGTGTTGTCAAAACAACTAGATATTACTGAAATTGAACAAGGTATCAAAAATGCTACAAAAGGATTAGAAGTAAGTAATGAATGCATATTTCCATTTTTCTCTTTAAAAATAATTTGCATTAGAAAAACTTCTGTCTTATTAAATTATAAAAACTGTTAATATATATTTCACTTTATTTCTTTTCATTTTTATGTAAGGAAGAAATCCAAAAAACGAATACTATGATAGAAAACATAGCTGCAGATGAGGCAAATCTGGAAGCAAAAATTGAAAAAAGAAAAATGGATTTGGAGAGGAATCAGAAAAGATTACAAACATTAAAATCAGTCAGGTAAATAACCTTACTTTATTGAATGTAACAGTTAGAAGTATATATAGTAATTATCAGCTTGATAGAAAATAATGTTATATGCTTTAAATTATATAAATAATTAAAATACTTTAAATTGTGAAGTATATTAGTAAAAGTATTATGAAGGATGTATAACTTTCTTGTCCCCTCTCTTCCAATATAATATTAACATTATGGATCATCTGTTGAAGAATATGATAGAGAAAAGGGGTAATGATAGTGTTATTAATGAATGTTAACATTATTGATGTTAATATTGTTATAATATTATAAATATCAGTACTATTGATCAGTTGTTGAAGAGTAGTACCTAGAAAAAGTTCTGCAATTCTGTTATTTTTTATATATAAATGGCTACAGCTTATTTTCCTACATGTTTTAAGTATACTTCAAGTCATAAAACTGCTTAATCTTATATTTCATGATTTATTTGATTTTTCATCTTGTTCTTTGATTTTCATTAAATTCAGAATCAGTATTAAAAATTAAAATATTTAACTGAAAATTCCCAAGCAAAATAAAAAGTTCGAAGAAGCAAAATGAATTATTTCATTTTTAGTTTTAGTTTTGAACACACATAATGCAGCTCCATGCACTTTAAATAGAAATAAAACTTTTGTCAGAATTTTTTAATTTTGTCAGAATTTAAGTCTTTCATAAATTTATTCCCATATTTTTGTGAAAGTGTATCAGAAAAATACAACTGAAATATTGCTAGAGGGTTGCATTGATTTATAAGAAAAATAATTCATTATATTTGTTATAAATCTATTTTCTAAAATTTTATCCTTGAAATATTTTTTGTTTCTTCTCTTACTTTTCTTAAATAAACTAAAGATACACTAAAAGCAGAATTAATAGGTGATGATGAATCTTTAGTTGCAGAAACTTTGTGGAGCACTGTTTATACGACTTTTGTGCAAGTCTTTTACATTTATGCATCATGTCTTGGTCCTGATTCAGTCCTATTTATTTTAATGCTAAAATATTTCTTTTACACATCACATAACTTTGGTCATACATTGCTTTTGTGTGCATACACTGCACTGGTTTTACATTTTGCACCTTTCATGTATTTTTCTCAGAAATGGAGATGACTTGATTTCTTGATGCTGTGTTAAATATACTAGATGGAGTCGAATCAACTGATACAAAATGTCACAAAAGTGAAAGGCACTATTGTTAAAAGATAAATTTTAAATTTAAAAAAAAAGTTGATGTGAATACTGGTTTGATGAGAATTGAGTTACCAAAGAAACTGGATATTCCTTTGGCAATGCTAAAAGCTGTTGTTTATGATAGAAAAAAGTTGAAGAAAAATCAGAAACTTGTGGACAGTCTGCTTCAAAGATATTGTGTCTACAAGACGGAAAGTTTCCTGAGGTTGAAGCCATTTTGCTAAAATTTTTCATTCAATGTCATGCATCCAGTATTCAGTGAATGGTTCCATGATAATCGTGAACGTAATAGAAATAGCATTTTAACTGAATGTGAAAAAAGCTTGCTTTTCAACTGGATGACTGCATAAATTTAAACTGTGCCATGAAATCTCATATCAGCATTCCATCTGAGTTGGTTGAAGAGTGGTTCAAGAATTTATCCACTAAAATAGATGGATATGAATTAAAAGTCACTTTCTGCTCTTTTCTTTGCACTTATGCCTGCAAGAAACCCTAGCTTTCAAGGTGATCATTGTCATAGAGCTAAGTAAAATATGAAATGTCTCACTGTTTTACTTTGTGCAAATGCTGATGGCACAGAAAAGATGACTCTTTTAATCATAGGAAAGTCACAGAAACCAAGCTGCTTCAAAAATATTAAAACTCTGCTGTCAAAAAGCTAATAAGAAAGCATAGATGACTATGGACAGTTTTACAGAATGGCTGAAGAAAATAGCTAAAACTACGAGAAGACAAAACTAAAATTTTACATTTTATGGGTCATTGTACTGCCCATCATGAAATGATAGATTTCTTGCAGAATGCGAATGTTATTTTCTTCCCGGCAAATTGCAAAAGTGTAGTACAAACTTTAGATCTGGGTGTCATTAAGAATTTTAAAATGCTCTACAGGCAAAGGTTGATTCAAATAGCTCTTCAAAGCATAACTACAGGAAATAAGAAAAAAAAAATAATTGTTCTTTAGGCTATAAATATGATTTCACTCGCCTGGACTCAAGTAAAACCATAAACAATTAAAAATTGCATTATTAAGAAGGATTTTCGAACCCAAGTGAAAGTGTTGATGATTAAAATGATGATAAAACTCTGATTAATGATGAAAAAGATTGGAAATTACTGGGATTAGACATTACAATGAAGGAATACGTAAACTGTGATGCCAATTATTTTTAAATTACAGTTGAAGAGCTGATTGAAAACATTGTACAAAATGAATATTTAAGTAATGGGGATAAAGAATAAAATGAAGAAGTCATTCCACCTTTTCAAAATGCTGTCTACTGCATTGATACCCTCAGAAATTTCTTTGTGTGTAATAACACAAGCAAGAAAACATTTAAAGAATTGAATTCGCTTCACAGCGCTTTGCTTGAGATTCAGATTCAAAGGACACCACAGTCAACAATTAAGGACTTTTTCTTTAAAAAAAATTAAATTTTGCTTTAAAATGTTTTTGGAAAAAAATTTGTTGTTCAAGATGGCAATTCAAATAAAGGTATGAATTTCTTTTTTTCCAATTTTACATAACTACATACAAAAATTTGCATTCTTATGATTTTAAAAATATTAAATTTGTATTAATATCATTTTTAAAATATTAATAATAAAAATGTTTAAATTGTTTTTAATTGTTTAAAGTGTATTAATATTAAATATTTATTTAACGTACTAAGTTTAATTTGCTTGAACATATTAATATTTTAAACAAATTGAAAGTAGGATAATAAAATTATGTAATATTTGTAGTAGATTAGTATTATCAATATTGGGCAGCCAGTATATATATATATATATATATATATTATGTGTGTGTGTGTGTGTGTGTAATAGATTCTGTAGTAGAACACAAGTGGTTGTATTCACAATGAACAGCTAGAATTTTGATGTCGTAGAATGCTGAAATGCTGATCCACAAAGAATAAAAAATTTTGCAGTCAAGGTATATTTATTTAACTTTTATTTCAGTAAACATGTTGTGTCCGAAAACAAGTTGGCACATTTATTGTAGCAGACAGACAGCAGTGCAGCTAGGACAAAGTGTTGAAAGCAAGTGTGTTATGTTCAGAGAAAAATCTTAATTCAGACTGAGTTAGTTTTCGTTCTCAATGCATTTTGATTGGATGGTTAATATTGCTGTAAAATTACTATTGGCTGTTTGAGTTTTAGTTTCATTTACATCATCAGAATTATGTAAGAGTCATATGACATGGATTTTTCTCGAAATGACGCAGTGCAAATAAAGGTTACTAATTTTAGAATACAGAAGGGAATTAATTTTCGCTGCTAATTTAATCTTTTTACATATCCTTCCTTTAAAAGAAAGGTTGGGACAGCAGGGCGGAAGAAAAAGCATTAGAAAGAAAGCATTAGCATATGAAGAGAGATAATTTAAAAAAATACAAATCCTGAAATTTTGTGCAAAATAATTATTTCCATAGCAGCAAAATATAAACTTTGATAAGATTTTAGAGTCCTATTAAAAATTTTCAGTCCAAAAGTCTTTGTGTTTTAGAGCCCGCATAATTAGATTTCTTCAGGGAAGGCTTTGCACACAATATCTCTTGTAAAAATTTTGCACACACATTATGTATTTTGAATAATCACAAATTTCAAAACGTTCAAAACAATTAATTTTTGGTATTATAACTTATATTTTAACATCATAAATTTTATGGTCATAAAAATTATGGTTTTTACTGTCACTGTTACATTGCCAATTTTCTTATTTTACACAAAACCAGAAGACCCCCATAGCTTTCTCTAACTCAAACATTTCCAGCTATTTGGGCATCACCACTTTAACGAACTCATGTACTGAATTTTCATGAGTGGTTAAGGGTTGCTTCTGGCAGTTGCATATAAAGGCCTTCGTTCCTTGTTTAAAGGCAACTGATCTTTCAAACTGCACTATACATTCCATTTATATACATAAAAAAATAACTACACTCCATTATATTTAAAAAAATATAAAATTTTATATATGAACAAAAGTAAAAGTGGAGCCTTCATAGTTTGTATCTTCCGATATGAGGAGGATAAAAGAACAAATAACAGAAATAAAAACAGGGCCTCTGTTTTGTACCAGAATTCCCTCATCATACTCTTACATTCATTTATTCTCTTTTTAGTATTTTTATATCCATCATAACCATGCTCAGTATTTTAAACGTATTTTCTAAATTATAATCAAAACATTTCTGTTTTTCAAAATTAACTCTTTCATTTTTCAAAACAAATCAATTCTTAAACTTCAAATTTTTAAATAGTAATGTCATTTCTAATTATTACTACAATAATTTTAATAACCTTCCTTAAATAAAATAATTATAAATCTCTAAATTCGTTATTTAATTTGTAAAACAATTTTTTTAGTATCATAAAACTTGAATCGATAAAAATAGCACTAAAATTTTAATAGCACTAATATGTATAACATCAGATACCTAAATTTCAAAGCAGTACTCAATTAAAAATCACTTGCTTCATAGTAATAGTTTAGAGTACATCATTTTTAAAACAACATTTATATTATTCTAATTAATTATTTCATAAGTAACGAAAAATTTAAACATACTCAAGCCGCAGAAAATATCAAATAAGATGCGCCAACAAAATTAATAAATGCCAAATGATTAAATGACAATTTGAGAATACTTGTGTTTTCATTCTTTCAACACTTGTACTATGTTTTTATCTTAAAACAATAAAATTAAATTTCAGGAATTTTAACTAAAACTTTTCACACAAAATTTAAAATCACTGAACCAGCATTAGGTCTCTTTCTCTGAAATAACAGTAATTCAAATACACATTGACCGAAAGAAAGTCATTTGGATAAACATAAGGCTGTCCGTATATTACAACGTAGGAATCAGAAATGGATTAAAAGGATTTCCCACGCTTCAACACGCGTGAGGTACTTGACATTTGATGATCTCCGTAAATTTTTGATGCAGAATGGGAAGTATCTCACATATGATACTTCAAAACACTTTTTATAAACACAGACTGATGGCTGGTGTATTTAATCATTTTGTAGTTTACTATAGTTAACTCCTATTAAGCTTAAAGCACTGATTACTTGCAAAGCACTTAAATCATTGATGATCACACAGTATAATTTTTTTTTTTCTCTTTGTAGGCACTGGCAGAACACGAGCGAGATTATCAACACAGAAATTAAAAATAGTCATGACACAAACTTGCATCACAATTCGTTTCATTACTATTATTTTATTAGTTATTATTAAGCTGTTTTCTGTATTTATTCTTAAAAGTATTGGATTTGACTGAATAATATGCAAATGACCTAAAATCATTAAATATATATATCTCCATGAGTTTTGATCATTAAACATATGCAATATTTCCTTCCATAAATTTAAGAAAAAAATTGAACCTTCAAATTAATTATATCTCTTATAGACCAGCATTCATGGATGAGTATGAACGATTAGAAGTTGAATTAGAAGAACTGTATAAAAAGTATGTTATGAAGTACACATGGTTGGCCTACTTAGAACAGCAGCTTGAAGAACTGGAGAAAATAGAACAGGAACTTATTCTGGTAAATATTATATAATTTAGCTTGCTTATTCATTTTGGAGTAAAGTAAGCTGAAGCGCAAACAGTTAAATTTTGACAATGCAGATTTTCTCGACAAGGATGTAAGATATTATTACATTTCTTCAAGCATGTTATTGTATTGTGTTACTAGTGAATAGTGTGCCCAGCTAGCAGTTGGAAGGTGTATGATTCAAAATCTCATTAAGGGCACAATTGTTTTTCAAGTTAAGCAGCATCAAGAGTAAAAAAGTAGCAGACGATAACGTGTCACCATCTGGATTTGGTTACCTGAGTTTTGCACTTCTTTCTATTTCTGCATTTAAGTGAATGAGAATACAGTACGTGCCAGTCATTAAAATCACTTCTTTTCAAAACATATCTGAGTTTATTAATTAGCTAAGGTTAATAAACGCCAATTTCAATGTTGCAAATTACATTATCAACGTTGAACTTACCAAGATAGTAACTAACAATTAATCTAATAATTAATACTTAAATCATTAATTATAAAATTAATCCTAAAATTAAATTATTTGTGAAACTTGGAACTTAATTTTTAACCCTGAGGAGCGTAGTCCAGAAGGGCTGTCAGTCCCAAAATGGCATTTTGTGGTGGTTGACTATAGATGGTGTATCACTTTTTAAATTATTACCACCAAATATTATCACCCTGTATTAAATTTAAAGAAATTAAATAATGAATCTTCATCAATGTATCTATGTTTCTCGCATTGGGAAAAAAACAATGGTATCTACAACCGTCAAATTTTGAATAACGTAACATTCCACCTTAACATCGGCACCTGGAAGCCCTAATTTGAAACTTTGATTTTCTTTTATTATTTATTTCATACTTTGTAAAACTTCAACGAATTTTTCACTAACAAACACAATGATTCCAAAGTGAGCAATGGCAAAACTGTGCAGAAAAAAGCATTTTTATCTCCAGCATGTGACATAGTATATGATTATCAGCTTAATAGCTTAATGAATATTTTATGCTTAAACTGATATGCCTTCCTCCCCAGGTCATAGGGTCATATAGGTCATTATTACACCTTGCACATAAACAATAAAATAGGAGTTTGAAGAAAATTGGCTGTGGTATTTCAATATTGATTTTGGACAAATACTACCCCCCTTACAAAGTTTCTTAAAGTATGATTACAAATTTCATGAAAATAGTCTTACCTTGTGGATAGGGAAGATTTCTGAAAAAATGCTTTATTGTTGATCCACATTAAGTATAAATTCCAAAGTGTTGTTGCTGCTAATTTTCATTTGTCTGACCTATAGTCAGCCTAAGCCCCTGAAATTCCTCATGGCAGAGAAACGCAAGATTCATGCCTGTCATTTGCAACAACTTTGAGCACCTAACAGGTGACAGCTCAATTTAGCTCAGTTCCACTCCCAGTTTTGATGGAAAGTACCCTTGGATGGGTGGATCCAAGGTTCTTCCACCCCTCTCCCCTACCACCAACTCCTCGAGAGGACTTTTGGCTCACCACTTAATTATAGTGCCCCTATGCTGCACGGACACTATACATTTACAAACATCCATGCCTTCTCTGGAATTCGAACCCAGGTCCTTCAGCACAGCAGTGAATGACCCAGAGTGGCAAAATACATATTTGTGTTTTATTTGTTAAAATCAAAATATTCTAAAATTGATTTCATAATAAGGGAAGATAAAGAACAATCTTCAGTCCTAGTCATGATTTTTACACTGGAACCTAAGCTCAAGGATTTTTATAATCTTAACTAGGTCAATTTTCAAGCTACTGAAAATAAAACCTTTGCCAGCTTAAAAATTTAAGAAGTGCATCAGCGGCATAGCTAGGGTTTTTGGCGTCCGTGAACAACTAAAGATTTTGCGCCCCTTTCTCTGTGCCAAGAACAGAAAACATTTCATTCTAAAATTTCGTAACATCAATTTGGCACCCCTGAATGCTGCACCAAGGGACAGATGTCTCCCCTTGCTACGCCACTGAAGTGCATAGTCCAGTTTAATTGCATGAAATTTGCCCATTTAGTCGCCTGTATTAAAATACCTCTTTTTAATATACCTCATTCATTACCATGTATGCTTTGCAGTAGCATATCTGAAATGAAAATTCAAAGATGATTTGAAAAGTTTTATATATAAGTTTGTCAGTACAGGAACAAGAAATCTAATAAAATTTTATAATTGCAAGGAAAAAGGCCAAGCCAACTGTATAAAAATATGTTGAAGAATAGAAAGGTACTATGGTTCTGTTGGTATTAAGGAATTGTGTAGCTCAGTGAAGCAGTTTTTTTGGTACATAAACACAAAATTTGATAAGATTTCCCACATTAAAAGAAAAAAAAGAAAAAAGAACTGTCCTGTAATAAGGTCTTGAAAACTAAAACTTTGTACAAGACTTCTCATATATAGAGTTAGAAGACGCTTGGACATTCCCCATACTTCCCTTGTCTTTCACAAAAATATTCTTATCTAGTATTCTAAGTGAAATACAGAACATTGCAAAAGTCTTTCTGTATTTCATATAGGATTGGTGATTCTGCTACATAGAAGAATAAATTGTTCTTTCTAGAGCTTGTTAGCAAGGAAGGCCTCTCCACCAAGCCATTGTAAAAGTACATTGTCAAGAAAGGCTATTGTGTTGAATGAAAAACAGTATATTAAATTATTCCTATAAATAGTATGCTTATGGTGCTAGTTTTTCTCTCAGTGCAAATAAAAGCAGGAAATTTGAAACGGCATTTGTACGTGGTATTCAGTCTTTTTATTTCTTACAGTAATAGTGCAGATATTTAAAAAAAACTTATCATTAGGTTGAATAAATAATTCTACTGTTCTAAAGAATGTAATAAATAATGTGAAGAACATTCTTTTATTAAATATGGTAATAGTTTGTAAAAATTGGCAGTCAAGTTTTGTGAATTATATATACAGTAGAAGCCCAACTATTAGCTTATTGGAAAACTCAAATAACTACAATAATTTAAAATTATACAGACTTTTGTTAAACAAAAAAATTAAGCATGTGAAAGATTTCTGAAGCCATCATAAAGCACATGTAGGACTACGACTCAGGACAGGAACTGTTTCCTAACTGCGTGATTTAATGAGCATAATGAATAAGCATGACATCACAATATGATCATAAAATCTTTCTCTTGGTTTTATATAAATCTGTGTAATTCTCAATAAGCCGGTTAGTTAGTCCCCCCCCCCTCTTTTTTTTTAAGGTATGTTAAATGATATTGATCAATTTTCCCCTCATATTTTGAAAAAAAAAAAAAGAATTGATCACAATTTTGGGCATGCCTAAAATGAAACAGTATGCAGTGAAGTATTTACAAAATTGCTGAATCATACCATAAAAAAATTAATATGCAATGATGGGCTCGATATGCAACTTTATTTGAAAATGGATAAACGGTAACATGGAATATTATGAGTACAGTGATTGAAGTTTTTTTGACATGCTATATCTGTAACTTGTATTTCTTGTTTATCTAACTAAATAAAGAGTAGTCAGTTCTTTCATACTTTAAACAGAATGACTTGTGGAAGTTAGGTGGGATCTCTGATAATGTGCATGGTCGAAACTGGATTGAGTTATCTTATGTTCATATGCTTAAGGCATATGAAAACGCATTGCCGTCATGTCTGAAATATACTCTTTTTTCAAAATCTTATATAACATTAAATGTAGGCTTTTGATATTCGAGCTGATAAGAAATAAGATAACTGTTTTTTTTAATTTTATAAGTTTCTTCTTTCACTTATTTGGTTTTTCTAATGTGACTTTTTTCTTTATATATATTCAACTGTTTTTAATTTTCATGTAGCTGTCATTTTCCAAGTTTTCCGGATAGTTAAGCATTTGATGTATTATATTATAAATAAATCTCTTAGACATATTATTAAAAATACTAATTACATATAAGTTAATTAAGAAGTATTTAAACTGCTTTTATTAAAATAATTAATTTGTTAAGCAGTTTGCTATTTCAATTTGAAAGGTAAATTTAAAATGATTACATGATGTCATATGGCAATATTTCTGAGAGCTGGAAATCTGCCAGGAAAAGGAAATGTTAATTAAAAAATCTTCATTTTGAAATGGTAACATGTGCTGAGCCACACAAATTGTAAATATATAAGTTGCATAATAACAGTCATAAACTGAAAATATTAAATGATAAATGTTTTTAACCTCAAGAGCAGTCATTGGCATATTTTTTAAATATCCTATATTGTCAATAATACTGATGTAAATAACATATTTTGAAAATTTCTCTCAAAAAAGGAGGTAATACAGTTTTTAACAGATATTAGTGGCATCATGTTAAGCAATTTCTTATTTTTGAGTATTAAAAAATATCCAGTTTTTTTCTTTCTTAAAACAAATTTCAACTTTGGAATAGAAGTATGCATCACATAACTGGCATGAAGGAAGAAAATTAAGTGCACAAAATCTAATTTCAAAATTTCTTTTCATTTATTGTACCATAGAAAGTTCACTTTATTCATACCTATAAAATATTTCTTATTAATAAATTTTCACACGGACGAAGATTAAGATAAAAATAACAAAGAGCTTTTCTAACACTGTAAGCTTTCTTCTCATTTATTCATAAATTAGCTACAGTTACTCTTGGAGACTTCAGGTGAACTTGTTTACAAATTATTTTATTTTAAACATTCTTCCTTATTTCTGAGAGATTTGTTTTTGCAGGTGCATTACTCTCAAGTTGCTTAAAGTGAATTGAAATTATTTTAAATTGATAAAAGGAAATTCTTGCTTTATAAAAAGTTAAGAGTGTGAGAAAACAGAATTTACATATTTGTTTTAATGTAATTTGATGATTTTTTTTTTTTTTTTTTTTTTTTTTTTTTTGAATAGCAAAGAGAAGAGGTGACAAAGCGAATGGTTGAAAAGCTACGTCAAGAAGACTTATTACGCAGTGAAGAAAGTGGTAACTTGGATGACTTTCTCATAGTTAATGTGGAAAATGAAACCCCCCACAGTGCTCCAAGGGAGAAACTTCGTCGACCACAACCAGCACGTAAGCAAACTAATTTCTGTTTATTATATTGCAACATTTAAACTTGTTCTTAACAGTAAAAGGGTCAAACTTGTATATTGAAAATACAATTACTCTATTTTCAATAATTTAAAAAAAAAATTACCAAATACTGTGTGTACAAATGTGTGAGCGTTATGTAAAAAAGAAGGGAAAAAAAAGAGGGTGGGGGGAAGAAACTATTTTGAGTTTTTCTTGATTTTTTTAAAGTTTTTAACATTTTAAAATATAGGAAGAGGAAAGAAAATTTTAACCTATTAAAATATTTAAATTTTTTATTATCACACAGTTTCAGTGATTTTTTATTATTGAAAGAATTATTATGGTTTCTATTCTCTCAGTTCTACTGATACAACTGATTTTTAAATTTTCTAATTTCTCTCTGTTTGTTTTATAAAAAAAAGCTAAGTGTATATGATTTTCCAGTGTAACTTCTCAAGTGTTTTTGTATATTTAGCATCTGGAGTTCGAAGAGAAACTCATCGAAGAGTGTATGGTTCCATGAGTGGTGGTGAAAAAGATGTATGTTAATTCATTTTACTTATATTATTTAAGCTTATGCATTTAGATTAATAAGGAAACTTGTCTCAAAATATTTCTTCTCCTTTATTAAAATACTTAAGATTACTATGGGCTCAGAAATAGGGTTAATGAAATGCATATTTTTTTTAATTTGTAAAACTAGAAGTTCATAAAGTTTTTTTATACCTTTTATTTCAGTTTTACAGAAAGCAGAAAATGTTATTATAATGAAAGACTAATTTAATGCTACCTATTGATATAGTGTGGAGTGATAAATTTTTGATACTGTACCGCATTCAGTTTTATTTTTGTTACGAACATTAATTTAGATATAGTATTGCACTGGTCAGTTTTGTAAAGTATACTCTTTTTACTGAAGTGAAATACTAAAATATGGATTAACTAAGCATTTCTAACTAAAAAGAATTAAAATTACTTTAGTAATTTCTGATTATCTCTCTACACCTCCATTGAAAAGTTGCAAATTTGTTAATGACTTTAAAGAGTATTTATGAACTCATTGGCAATTAATTTTTCACCAACCTAATGCACAAAAGGAAACAGCCATTTTCAAAGTGGTGCCATATTAAGAACTCTATAAAAGAGCAATCAATAAATAAAACTGAAAAGGCAAGAAACATCAATAACAACATTCTTATCTATTTTGAGAAGTCTTTTTGTGATCTTTTTTTGCACTGTTGTTCTACCTATGTACACAGATATTTCTTTTCATTTAAAAAAAAATAGATAATTGCACAAAACATCACATATAATTTGCCATTGCGCACCGGCCAACAATAAATAAAGTGAAATAGTTGTTGTAACTAGATACTGCTATCTTCAAACCAATTTCAAACCTGTGTTCTAACATTCTGCTTTGAATTTTTCACCGTACGTTTCCATAAATAAAATAAAATTTGATCATTCAATTATTACAAATGCAAAAATTTGCAAAATTGCATTTTCTATTATTGGGCTGAAATGTATATTTCTGCAGAAATGTGGAGTTCAGCCCCGTAACAAATATGATGCTTCCTTTTTCATCAGTTAGCAAATTTCTCAGTCCCATTATGATTTGTTATGAAAAAAAAAATCTACTCAATGTAAAAAGAAACAATACAGAAAATTGCTGATTGAATTTCAAAAGTGCGTGTCCACCTATACTTAAACAAACATGTTTTGCACATATCTCAGTTGCCACATAAATATCTTTTGCCGACATTGTGAGTTTTCACATAACTGTTTTGGCAACATACTGCATTGTGTCATAAATACTTTTTCATAAATTTTTGGTAGGGGTGCAGATAATCAAAAAGTAAAAATTTTCACATTAATTAAAAAAATTCATATTATAATATTTATTTCAGAATTCTTTTCATTATTATAATGCAGCTAACTTGTGTGTGAGAAGAGACAAGTTTACACAATTATAATAAATTATTATGATGTGGTAAAAAGTAAGTGCATTCACACTGAAAATTGTTAACTATCAAAATATGTTCATCTTTTAGACATGCTGTATATTCTCTGATGCAACATAGTGCAACCATAAGTATTAAATGTGCATGTGTAATTTGGATGAATTTATTTAGTTTGACAGATTAAATATTTGTTTTCATGTTATAGTTTTTTTTTTTTTTTTTTCTCTCTAAATACATTTAGTAAATTAGAGTACTCAGAGGGTATATGTAGACATAAAAGTTCTTAAAATGGCATTCTCAGAGCCTTTTATGTAGCCAGGTTGCTCTTTACACACGTAGTTTTCTTTTGCTGAGATCCCTTCTAGATAGGTTTAATTATTCTGGCAAACCAGGTTGCTGTATCTTCAGTCAGATCTTGTATTATATTTGCATTAGCTTAGCAGTTATAATTTTTAATATATAATAAGTAAATCTATCAAATTAGCTTTGATATTAAATCTGTGCAGCCACCATGTAAAAGCCTGTGATGTATAATTTAATATTGTAGTGTGCGAATGGATTGAATACGCACAGAATGGATGATAGGTTGATAAAATTAATTTTACTAAAAAAAACACTTTACAGTTTTGGAACTTTCAACAAAAATACTTGGCCAGCTTGTCTCAGTTTAAGCTTAATCAGTAGTTACACTTCGAACAACTAAGAACGTTAAACACAATGCAATGCAAAGCACATCTGAAAGGCAAAGCTATCACAGATTTAATACTTTAAATTCAGCTGTGAACTAACAACTGAGAAAAACTGTTGGTCTTCCTGGCCTTATATAATTTTCCCCGGCTGCTGAGAAATACCTAGTACTTTTCACTTCTTGAAACTACTGGGAAACATATAAAAAAGGCGAGATAGAATTACATTTACTAGTAGGGAGTAATAACAGTTATTCAATTAGATTACCAACTGTAGTCATACTGGACCAAAATGTCGCCAAGTTTGGCGACAAAAACTAGTTGCCAAACCATGAACAGCTTGCTAATATCTCGCCAATTTAGCGAGATAGTCATTTTACTCGTTGTTATAATGACTTGCTCCTGTATTCTTATTTATCTGGCAAAGCTTGATCTCTTTCAAGCATTTCATGATACATTATATAAAAGGTATTACAATTTCACATATAATTATTTATATATGTACAAAGTTTGTAAATATGTCAGTACAAAGTCAGAAATCCAGACCACAAGCAAACTTCTTTTTTAGGAATTTTTTGTATGCTTGCATATCTGATATTTTTTCATAGCAATCATTTAGTTTCATAAAAATCTGTATGATCAATAATTTCACTCCGTAGTTGCCTTTTTGCTTGGCATACATCTCAAACGGAAACATTCTATATCGAAACATCATTGATTTTACACATAATAAATAATTTATATCTCTGATGAAATTTTGGCAAATGATTATTAATTATTTTTTGCTTTCATCACCGCATGACTATCATCACATGACAGCTTGAGAAATGTCTCATACAAAAACATAAGGAATTTTTTAAAAAAGTATTAGTAATTGAATATTAAAAAGCATGGTAACCTTCTATGTTTACCTTATGCTTGGAATGATGTACAGACTTCAGCTAACTGCAGAGCATGTGGGTTAGGAGCAGTTTAACAAAATTTCTTTCCATATGCAAAAATTAGGTTTTGTAAATGACACTCATATATCAAAAGATTACATTTAGTGCTGTTAGAATTGAGAATAACAGATTTATTATTCAGATAAGCTCAGGACTGGCACTAGAACTTGTGATGCTGCACCAAGTGGCAGAATATAGGGAAAGCTTTTTTATTTATTTAGCGAAGCCCTGAGCAATAAAATTAAGGGATGCCAAAATTATTAGAATTTGGGGAAGGCACTAGGATGCAAAATTTTTAGACTTTAGGGAGGCAGTAGATTTAGGACCCTCAGAGATTGAACCAGGCTGCAAAATATCTAGTGCCGTGCTGGATAAGCATTAAATATATGTGAAAATATATTTGTTTGGGACTCAGATAAGTCTTAAGCATGTGTGGGAAATAGGTATAAGTGTAATAAATAACTAAACTAATAATAAGTCAGGCATAACTTAATCGGTGGGCAATGAAAGCAAGAAAAATTTAGCGGAACAAAATAGCTTCAGTCACCAATCTTATACATTCCCAATGGTGTATAGTGAATGCTAGCTAAGCTTTATGATGCTGCTGCAAATGTGAAGGTTTTCGGATATCACAAACAAAAATCAAAATTTTCCAATTAATGGGATTTGTGGAGAAGCGGTTATAAATGAAGATTATATGGTAGAAGTTTTTCATTGCAATGACAATGAAATCATCAACCTAATCATCATTTAACCCCTTCGAGCCGGGTAGCGAAAACGCGCGCTTATCGCGGAGGCCGGCAGTGTCTTCCGCGAGCGTCTCTCCAGGGCCGGGGGCTTTTTTGCTACTAAGCCTAAATCCATGAAATTTCCGAAGTATCAACGCATTCTTTAATAATGCTCTATAGAGTATTTAAACGGCTTGTGCTTTATAGATATTTTTATATATATACTTTAATTACCTTATTTCTTGTTTAAATGCATATTTTACACATTTTATTTTAATTACTCACAATTTTATGACTTTTATAATCTGAAAACTAAATATATTAAAATTCTGTTTTCGTATGAAAAATTTGAAAACGGGGATCTACACACAGTCCTACGTTACATTCCTTGCACTCGTAATAACTCATTTGCCGTTTTGGAGGATTTTTCCGGGAATGTGAACAAACGAAGCATCGTCGTCTCATTTTCTTATCAGTCTCTTCTGAAAAAAGTTTTGGAAAATGTCTTTCAGTTAATCTTTCAGAATCAATATCAGAATATCAGAATTTCAGAATCAATATCTGAAATATTTTGCATCATTTCTGCTATTTCATGCTCTGTTAAACATTTTCGACACTTCAACATTGAAACAGTAAAAACAGAAAGAATTCACGTCTAACAAGATGTAATTATTTTCTAAAAACTGAACTGTAAATGGAAATACTCAACGCTTTAGCGCATATAAAACTTCTACTTACAATAAACAACTACCACGTGCGAATAAAGTGCGATTTAAAGAGACGTCATAAATAAATCACGCCATTCGGAAACATTTAGTTCCCCGTTTGTTTATATAATCAAAAACACGTGTATGTGAGTCATGCTTCTCTCATTTCAAGTAGAAGTCTAATGCACATGTATCTGAAACCATATGGACATACAGTGCCATCTTGTGGCAGAAATTATAGTTTGAAAAACGTTCCAAGGTACTGGCACAAATACGTGACAGTCGGTAGAGAATGCAACAATGCTCTGGCACGCCTCGTGTCGGCCGGTAGATAAGTGTGTTCATTGCTGGCATGTATACGTGACAGTCGGCGCGAAAGGGTTAACAAACAGATGCTGAAATATGTAGTAAATCCGTAAAATATGGTTACTGATAGTGAAGAAAATGACAGTTTCTTCAGAATAAAAAAATCTCGATGGGAATTCTCAACACGGTAATTGCAGCACTTGAATTTTGTAACTGAACAAGAAATTATGTCTCTCTATAGACATAATTAAAAAGAAAATATTAGCACAAGAAATGAAACAACTTACAGAATTTACATTGAAGGGAATGTTTAATGAAGCAGAAAAATAAATATTGAGCTTTTGTCAAAAAACTGTGATTTCCATAAGCTGAAAAATGCTTCATTATTTTATTAATGAACTATTTCATATTTTTAATTTTGTAAGTTCTTCATGTCATCTCACTACATTTGAACTGATGATCTAATATCCAGAAAAATCCAGAATCGCCAAAGTCCTGACGAGTTTGAATCTCGGGCTTCGTACTGTATATATAAGTAAAAAACATATGTAAATCAGAATTTTAACTTTAATTTGTAATAGTTCCTTAACTCTTCATTTTCATTTGGTGTTTCCCTTTCTCATCCTAAAAATAGTAATTGTTTATAATAAGTCTTTCTAAATTGCATAATTTCGAAATCAATCTATGTCAACTAGCTATTTTAAGAATTCATTATTATGTATTTGAGTATTTTGACATAAACCATATTCTGTAAAATATTGTCTGTTGAAGATGTTCCTTTTAATCCTATCTTATTATTTTACCATTTATCTCTGATCAGGATAGCCTTGATACTGATTCTGATTTAGACCTGGATGGAGAAGAGGATGATGGGTCAGAAGTTACTGATGATGATCAAGATCTGGAGAATCTTTCAGACCTAAAAATTTCTGCTACAAATGCTGCCCATGCAGACAGTGATAATGACTTTTAATTGTAGTTGCAGTTTTTATGGTTAGATTTTACACTAACTAGTTCTAGTCAAGCATTACAGTCATAGTCTATTTGAGAAATTTATCTTTCATTTTTGTTTAATTTTGTGAAGATTTGTTGTTAATTTTTCAGCAGAAACCACATATACGTGCTATAATTCTTAAAGTATATGAAAAGCAAAATGTAAATTTTTCCAATTAAAAAAATATTAAGTACCTGCAGTACCATATTATTTTGCTGATGACAAAAGTGTTTCAAAAATATTTTATGCAGTGTTCAATTGTTTTAACAATAACCAACAAAGTTTTCTTTTTAAAAATATATGAAGAAATTTTTTTTAATGTAAAATTTATTTTATTTTATTAATTATATTTTTCAAACAATGCTATTATAATGCATACAAGCTTTTCTGATTTACACATATATACTTTCTGATACAATCAGATTTGCTTTCTAATTATTTCTGTAGTTTATTACATTATTTTATATGCTACAACTTATGCAGTTGTTCTTTTCATTTCTGTGTGAATTAAATATACATTTTCAATCCAATAATATTTTTCCATAATGTTCATCAAAACATATTCTTAAAATTGTACAGTTTTTTTGTGAATTTATTTTTATATGCATCATCATGTTTTGCCTTTGATAAATTTTATATAAGCTGCATGTACAAGTTAAAACTTATTTAAAAAAGGCAGCAACAAAAACATAGTAAGAGAATTTATTTTGCCTTGATAGTTAAATGCATGTGCCTTTGAATTTTATGTAAAACCTATCCGTACATTATTAGTATGCACATCAGATGTACAGTCTGTAACAGAATTGATGATCATAACTTCAAGGGGTAATAAAAAGATGACAACAGTAATAGCTTTCTTAACATAATGCAAAATGTTACTATTAAATAGAGTAAGAAAATCGTAACTTTTGCCATATTCTATTACCATTAATTTGTGACCATTAATTTTGTTACACTCTGTACATGCAAATGCATTTCATAATTTATATATATTGATACTCTTTTACATTATTAAGAGAAAGAAAATTTGTGTTTTACAAATTCCGTCCATGTAATCATGATTGTTATTTTTTGTGAAAATATTTTTTTAATCACTGTTAAATACTCTATATCCAAAAATTCAAGTCAAAATGCTAGTATCCTGTTACTTTATGCACATCTTGTTATTATTGTTTCTTTCTTTGTAAATAAAATACATAAATCTACATGTTGCCAAATATTTTTTTAATAAATACTTCTGACGATATTGAAGAATGCAAGGACTCCTTTTACAGATTTTTTTTTTCCGTCACTGTTGTCAGATATAAGAATTTTTTGCTTTTCAAAGAATGCCAAGGAAAATGAGTCAAGGGCCACATAAGGACCAGTTCAACATGCCTGTTTAGACCAACCACAAATAAACTCATATTTCCTCCATTATCTGGCAAGCATTACTACATACCATAATAGCATTTTTATTTTACAGTAGTTCTTTCTCCAAAGTGTTTAATGATACAAATTATTCACAAACACTTAACAGCCGACAAATGTCTGAATTTTGCAATTTATTAACATATTCTGCAACTGCTTGCAAAACACATTATATTTTTCATAAACATCACTTTTTCCAATGATGTACTATAAAATTACAGTTAATTTCATTATAGTGCAGATAATTTATATGCTCACAATATCCTTTATTTTAAATGAAATTTCATGTCATTACAGAAACACAATTTATAGGAATTTTAGTATGTTTTTATTTATTTCTAATGGTAAATTATAAAGAAAATTGTAGATGAATCCACAGTATAATATATAAATCGACTTTGTGTCTTGCCTCCCAGAGGGATCCTGCAATAAGTGCAGGGCAACAACTCGCATGTGAAGCAGCCATTTCCTCTTGAAGGTTGCACAATTTACAAATTGGGGTTGGGAAAATGTTCATTAAATGCAGATGTTTTAAAAAGCAACCATGGCCAGTAACAAGATGAAAGATAAACAAATTTCTTTCTGGGCGTAATGGAGTGTCAAAAATTCTGTTAATCCATAGTTTATGACTGTTCCTTTTGATAATCTGTTTCCAAAAAGCTTTTTTGTATTAATTTTTAATTAATGTAATAATTGGCAGTGTAAAAAAGATGTGGTTGTCAGCTATCTGGAGAATATGGGCCCCTTTCTTTGCCAAAAAAATCCGCCTTATCATTTCCATGAAGGCCACAGTGTGATGGTATCCATTGCATGGCAACTTCTTTGCCTTCCTGAGCTAAGTTGCTTAGAAACTGCTGATATTTTAAAACATCAACAGACATTGGTGATTCAAAAACAGAAATGGCTAGAAGAGCAGCTTTAGAATCACAGTGTATGGCATATGGCAACCTTTGAAAAATATTCAAGTTCACATTAGAGTTGAGATAAGGCTATGAGTATGACTGTAATCTCAATATCAAAAGTAGTCCTATTCCTTCCAACAGGATTATAAAATGAAAAAAAAAAGATGCCAGTGCCTGCACTATTACTGTCAGTCAAAATAGATTCATCCATAAACACATGTAGCCATTCACTCTCAGAATATAAAGCATAAATGGTATCCAAAGACTTAGATTTAAAAATTTGGTCATTCTTTTCTTTTTTGAGGATTTCGTGTAACAAATTAATTCTGACTACATTATTTTCTTATATCAGTTGCACATTGTGATTTCAAAAAATTGTCAGCTTCCCATCTTAAGACCTAGCTGATCTCTGACAGAAAAGACTGCCTGAAGAAAACCATTCTGAGTTTTAAGTTTTCTCTCCATCAGTAAAAGGAAGTAATTCCACAGGGAAAGCAGTCTGATTCCCTTAATTTTTTTTTCCCCATAGGATTAGTGCTATCTCTTCCACAATGGACTTAATGCACATATAATATGTAGCTAGTAAAAGTGCATCAACTGGGGTGGTTTTAATTGCACCAGTGATAAATCGGAGAGCTTGGCTGTGAATAATATGTTTAACATAAAATCAAACATTATTCAAAACTTTAACAGAAAGACTTAACAATGATATTCCTTGACTTTTTTTTATTAAAACAATTTTTGAAAAATATTTACTTAGAAGTGATTGTTGTTGTCTATGATAAAGCATATTCAAATAGTGCCATGGGCAAAGATGATGGCTCTGGCAACCTCCAAAACGTTATCATCGTAGAGGTTTGGTCTCTTAAACAAGACTCCAATTTTTAACAATTAAAAAAATAGGGGGACAATAAAAATGGGCACAGCTGTCTGTGTCCAGGTAGGTTATGGTTGCCAGTGCCAGTACATAAACTGGTTGTTGGTTTTTAATGGAATAGCAAATTAAAAATAAAGAGCATGGAAAATATATTAAGATCAACTACTCATATTATTGGGAACATATTTTACAACCAGTTTTTCCAATAGAACTGCATTGAGACAAAGCAAGCAGCCAAACGTCAAAATCCACCATTAATTTCCTGGAAAAATGGAACAAGAAACATACAGCAAGGACATACCCTTCATTCATATCCCTACAAAATCTCCTGACGTATCATCCATGTATTTTTGTGCTTTTGGACTTTTAAGAAGTGAATTGTTCAAATGCCGACTTACAACCCTGCTTGGACTTTGGAAAACTGTTGAAGAGGAATGGGATAAAATACCTTTTCGATACTAAAAAAGGCTGAAGAATAAAGTGTATCAAATGAAACATTTAAAATGCAAAAATTTTAGGTAAAATATTTTTGTAAATGCAATGAAAATTGTCTAAAAAATGTGCAAACAGCTTCTGTAATCCCATGACAGAGAAGACTAGTGATTCTGCAACTTTTCCGTTTTGCGGGCGCAAACGATAAAGTTGCCAATAATGGTACAACTGATGCCAAACGGAATATCTTCACTGGTAACCTTTTATGCTTCATTTTCAAAACAAGTCGCAGCCATTTGTTATCAGATTGATTGTTTCTTTCAATACTAGCATACAATTACATAGAATTTTTACACAAGATAGTTAAATTTTATACCCTAAGACCATTTGCGGTAATTAAGTCAATTAGGATGCAATCACACCGCTCACCCGAAGGCAAAAATATAGGAAAGGAAAAATTAAGGGTTCAATTCATCAATTCTAATGAGAATGCACTAGCGAAGTAAAGCACTGCAGTTTTACATAATTTCTGAGTAAGCTATTCGTACGAATTGAAATAATTCTTGCATTTAAACTTGTATTCCAAATTAAGATTTAACTTGAAATTAATGTAGATAATTACTGAGGGAATTATATTTTTGTAGGTGTAGTTTACGTGAGATGAGATCACTTTGGGTCAGGTGATACGATGCGGTGAATCAGATATTGAACCATGAAAGCATAGTAAATTCTTAAATTAATGTCTTTTTACAAATTTATTTTCTTTATTTATTGGCTTTTTGCAAAATTTTAAATCATATTAATATGTCTATGCCTTCAAAATAAAAAATTCTTAGAACTAAAATTTTTTATGTGTATACTGTATGCTGTCGCCAACAAAGTCTGCTTGGCGAGATTTGTGCCGGCGAAACGGAAAAGTACCGTGTAGTACAGTCAAATAACGAAAATCCGCGTTGCCTCTCAAAATATAAACATTCAGTTTATAGGTTTCGGAAATCGCACCATGGAGTACGAAATATCCAATAAAAAATACTTACCGGATAATGACATCATAATTACCGAAGAAAATGAGTCATAACAGAATCATGATGTCAAGTCCCCTCCAGTCTACATCAAGGTAAAAAAGCAGATGATTCACTTAACTCTTCCTTCAAGTACACAATTCACGTTGTTGTACTTTCTGAGCTTTGTTATTTCACGAGATTATTTAGTGCTGCCTTTTTTTTTTTTTTTTTAAATCCAAATATTTTGTCGATAAATTAAGAATATTTTTATTTTCAGCACTTTTTAATACAATGACAGATAAGAAATGCACTCATGATTTTACTACTTGCAACATTGAAAAACGTAATCACATTGCACTGACGGTAATACAAAAAGTGGAAATTCTGCAAAAGATGAAAGACAGGTGCTTCTCCTCAGTTTATAGCAGAATCGTAAGGAATTGCGACACGGACCCTGTATGATATACAGAAAAATAAAGGAAAGCTGTTAAAATTTTACAGCAACAGTGATTCTAACACTGGAATCTGAAACAGGAAATCTTTACACGAGGCAAAATCGGCAAACCTCGATGCCGTCTCGTACCAGTGGTTCCGGCAGCGGCCTGAGAGATGGGGGTACCAGTTTCAGGACTGCTTCTGAGAGAAAAGGGAAAGCAGATTCATGCTGATTTTAAAATGGAGGAGCTTATATATAATCAATTTATATATATAATAATAATTTAATGCATATAATAAATTATTGTAATAATGTATATAATAGTTTAATTAAATGTATCTAATACGCTTTTTTTATTTTGCACTTTTAGCCTGAATATTAAGATTTATCTTTTCTGTCTCAAAATACTAAAATCCGCACAACCTCTGGTCCCAAGCTTTGTGGATTTCTTCACTTCTACTGTATTTCTGTTACAAAGTTTAATCTGTAATTCAAAATGACTGATAAATTTTTTAAGCACAGGTAAATTCTTGTTGAGCACATTTCTTGCAGTGGTTAATGTATTTCAGAATTTCCATTTTAACAGCGTCCAAACAAACTGTTTTTACCAAATAACAACAGACTGAATTTTGCAATAAACCAAATTATTTTAGTACTTAGATATGGATTTCAGTACCAGAAAATGGAATGCTATAGTATTCTCTCTTCAGAATAAGATACAAAGTTTTAAAATTCCCCAGTATGTTTCAAGTAAGAGAAATTTTGATATAACCTAATAGCTACATGGAAAATTTCCTTATTAGTGATGAGGTAAAGATGAACAGAATATTGTACTTCATCTCAAAATTCAATCTAAAACTGACAGTAATTTAGCTTTCAGAGTTTCCAGATTTTTAAATTCAGCAATTTGCAAGAAAGAAACAAACATTTTCTTCACAGCAACACATTTAACACTTGAGTACAGCTTCAGAATGAAAGCATTACGTGTCTTACCATTTGGTATCCTCTCTTTCTTTGAATACCTACTTCTAAGTGTCTCTTTATCAAATAAAGTAAACAGATGAAATATATATATATGTGTGTGTGTGTGTGTGTGTGTGTGTGATAATTTACTCGAAGCAGATGACCAAGGGCAGCTGGGAAC